TCAACAGATACTCTCCCGGTAAAATACACAAACAGATAAATAAATTATCCCAGGCTGAAAAGAAATTCCACATCTGGTAGCTCACTAGAGCTTGTCAAACAAGTCAGAAACACGCAGGGCCAGAGAAGAGCATTCTTTAGCTCCTGATTTCAGGGCTGGAGAGGGAATGCAACATTTCCCAAACTCTCTGCCTTCCAACAGGGAATATGACCCATATAAACAGGCAAATGACCCCTGTGTTTTCGTCCAATTAAATAAATAATGATCCCCAGTATTAGGTCTCGAATCCAAATGTTCTGTGGGCTCAAATGACAGCCACTGGGAGGCAAAAGGTCTCTCCTCCGTGGCCTGGCCTCTTATCTCCAGACCCTTGCTGTGGTTACCTTCGGGGACAGCCAACGTCCGTTTCGCACCTTAAAGAAGTAACTGTGCCTCCCTGCACCGCGGTTTCCTAAGCTATAAAGCATCAAGTGACAGAATGATCTCTGAGGTCCCTTCACATTCTGACACCGTGTTTCTTTTCCACAGCCTTCCAGAGGGGGTGCTGTGAACAGTCACCAGGCCCACAGCGATCCCGGTCCTCTCAGCCAGTCTACGGGCCTCAGGAGACATGGCGAACGTTACCTAGCTGGGCTCTAGTAAACCACCCTCTGGAGAGGGGTTCTAGAGTCCACCCTCTCTTACCTCATACACGAGTGGCACGCTTCCCTCTCTTACTTCAGGAAGCGTGCAGTCTGCGAGCTCCCTTTGGTCTCTGCTCTATGTTCCTTAAGCAGGCCTTGGAGCCCATCACTTTAAAATGGTCCCTGGACATCGATGCCTGCCCCCCTCTAACAAAAGCACTGCCTTAGCATGCCCTCACGTCTGTGAAAGCCATGCCGGAACTCTGTGCCTGAGTACATGTTAGTCCTCAGAAGACTCATCAGCAGAACCATGACCAGAACAGGCCCGGGCTCACCAGCCTCCGGCTGTCTTCCACGAAAGTAACTGCTGGGTTCTCCCTTCGATTCCTGACGTGCTGCCCATCACCTCCCTACATCCTCATTATGCAATCTTGCCGTGTTTCACAGGGAAGTGAAGGAGTTTGCCACTCCAGATGCACAGGACTCTGACACTTTTTCACATGGAACCACAGCGTACCAGTGTCTGTACTTGTTAGCTCTCAGATTCATCACACCCAGGGGGGTTTCAGGAAGTCCTCTGGTCTATTCTTCTGTCTCCTGGCAGCACTAGTAAAACCACTCTAGATACTGGAAAGGCTGCTGGCTCCCTCTTTCTGAAAAATTCCCAGATGGGCAGATGCTTCTGTCTCTCCAGATTCCTCAAAAAATTCTTTGGAGCCAAAGTAAGAAAGGTCTGTTGCATGGTTTTGCTTTGGTTCTCACATATTAAATAAACTATCTTTTTAATTTAAATGAGGATAACGAATTTACTACAGAATTCATAAAGGCCATGGGGGGAAAATAACAGAAGAAATGGAGATGCCTATTTTGGAGAAGAACAAGCAGGGGGATATACTGATTATATTCAAATTAAAAGTTTAAGGGGAACAAACTGGTGGTAACCAGAGGGGAGGTGGCTGGGGGGATAGGGGGAAATAGGTGATGGGGATTAAGGAGTGCCGGGTGTTTTATGGAAGTGTGGAATGACTGACTATATTATACACTTGAAAATAATATTACATTGTGTATTATCTAACTGGAATTTAAATAAAAACTTTTAAAAATTTAAATTAAACTAAAAGTGCCAAGATAAAATCTTACCTAGATGACCTCGTAAGGTCATTAAATCTACAACTCCAGAGTGTAAACTCTTTGTAGGTGCACACAGAACATTTACCAAAATAGACCCTCCACTGGACCATAGAGTCTCAGTAAATTTCAAAACAATGAAGCCATATGGAGTATCTGACCACAGTAGAATCAAATCAGAAATCAATAAAAAAAGAGAAAACTTTAAAAACTGGCCGAAGTAAGCAATATACTTTTATATAACTATGAGTCAAAGAAGATAGTACAATGGAAATTAGAAAATATGTTAAACTTAAGGATAATAAAAATATGACAAATCAAGACTTGGGAATATACCTAAAGCAGTAATTCCCAAGAAATTTACAGCTTTAAATGCATACATTGCAAAAATAAATAGTGAGATCAATGATCTAAACTATCACTTGAAAGACTAGGAAAATAACAGCAACTCAAACTCATGAAAGCAGAGGAGATAGCAACATTCGAGTAGAATGCTGAAGGATGAATAGCAATTACCAAGATAGATATAATCCTAACACACTGTGCTAAACACAACAAAGTAGCTCTGAGTTCCAACATAACTCCCCTAGGACATAAGTTTTTGTTAACAGATTTATTTATTCACTTAATCAGTCGAGCCTGCTCCCAATTCCCGCATGAAATAATCCTAGGCTTTGGCATGAAGAAGAGGATTTGGGAACACCATTATCTTCTGTCTTCTGACTCAGCACAAAAGTGGGTACCCTCTCTAGAACAGAACTGTCCTCTGTGAAGAATGGAAGTAATAAGCCCCCTTCCTCACGAACCGCGGCAGAATCTCGAGCAGAGTCATGAGACTGACGGCAGCGGCAGCTGACTTGGCGTCTTGTGACGTGCACAGCGCCCTGCCCACCACAGAGAAAGTGCAGCTCCTGAGCGTTTTCCTTCTATGTGGGAGGCACGTGTAACTTTCTAATGTACATGTTAACCTAATGAAGTCAGTATCATTACTGCCATTTCATATAAGAACAAACTAATATCCCGAAGGATTAAATAACTTGTCCTTGCTCATTAACTGGTCAGTGAAAGAGCAGCACTTTGGACCTGGAGCTTTCCTAACTTTGTCCATTATATTAATTACTATGCAGGAAATAACTTTTACAAAATTACCCTAAAGCACCAATGGTAGGGATGCGTGAGAAACCTGTTTGTTATCCTTAGCATCAAGATAATTCCGTGAGAGACAACTGACACGCTCATGGCTCTTAGTGCGAGTTTTATGAGCCTGTGGTCTCTGACAGGATAAACCGCCCCCCCCCCCCCAACGCAGACACTATAACGGAGACATACTGGGACCTCTATTCCAACTCTTCCACTCATTAGCTGTTTGACTATAGGCAAGTTATCTCACCTTGCTTCGTCTTAGTAAAGAATGAGAAAATAACCACCTTGCAGGTTTGGGAAAAGATCATAAGTAATGCCTGTAAACACCCAGAACATTCACTGGAACATGGAGGGTAGTTACGAAAGTTTTCCTTCCATGGCATCTTGAGAAGATCCCACTGAAGAGGGAGCACTCTGTCCATCTTGGCTATATCGTCCTGAATGTTCCCTTTTTTCACTTCCCTTTTACCACAAAAATAAACACATAAGTATAGTCTGAAACCACTATATGCAACAGAGGAAATACTGGCAGAAAAACTGGGTTTTTTTGCCATGAGTTGGCTAGAGAAACAAGGAGGTAACTTGCTTTTTTAAAAAATGGGAATGATAGTGTGCTAAAAATCATCCAATACTCTAGATGTGATCATGTAAAAGACATCTCTGTGAATGAGAATAAACCCAAAAAGATGATACATATTTTATTAGCCACTCTCACGCTCTTCGCGGCCAGTAACTATACAGGCCAAGGGTGTCACACGTCAGCCTCGTTCACAACAATTTCTTTTCCACTCAAATGGAGCCACATTAAAACAAAACAAAACAAAACAAAAAAACCCAAACAAACAAACCCAGGAAAACTTGAGCTTTTAATTTTTGGTGGTGGTGATGGTTAGGGGGATTCCTATTTCTTCGCCTTAAAATCCACTTTTAGTTTAAGGGTTAGAAAATAAATTTCTCTCTCTCTCTCTCTCTCTTTTTTTTTTAAGATTATTTATTTGAGAGAGAGAGAGAGTAAGCAAGAGCATGGGGGGGAGGGGCAAAGGAAGAGGGAGAGAATCTCCAGCAGGCTCCCCACCGAGCACGGAGCCCAACTTAGGGCTCAATCCCACGACCCTGAGATCATGACCTGAGCCGAAACCAAGAGGGATGCTCGACCGACTGAGCCACCCAGATGCCCCAGAAAATAAATTTCTATAGTAAATATAGAATACACAACACGTATTCACTTAATAAAATCTGAGTACCAGATGGCCTCATATAATACCATTTCATGATTTCTTAGAACCTCCGATTCAGCAAACTGAGTCAGCTAGAGAAGATGGCTGCCTCTGTCTGACGGGCCCGACGAGCGCAGGGGGCAGCTCTCACCGCTCTCCCCGTGCCGGCTGCGGCTAAGTGACGCATGCTCTCCGTTTTGCTTGGGTCCGATGCCGCCGGCACGCCCCCGCAGCCGCAAGCCTCTGCCCGCCGCCGTCACGCATCTCCCGCACATCCTCCCTGACAGAGCTCATCAATTCCCACTGCTTTTCACCGGGCCTTGGCTCTGGCACTTTCCCCTGGGGAGACCTTTACTGGTCTCCATACTTAACCCTTGAACCCAGCCTAATCCATCAGCCGCACTGAATGAACGGTGAGAGAGAATGTTTCTCCCTAAAGACAGGCAGCCAACCTCTCTACTTAAACCTCAGAAAGAAAGCCATCAACAGGGTCTGCTTTCTGTTTGTCAGCGTCGCCAGCGTCTTCGCTTACTGACATTTTTATCGTTGCCGTGCCCAGCTGCTCGAGTCAGGCGAAGCCCTCTTCAAGGAGACATCAATTAAGTGCTCGTTACATGCTATTGATGCGCTTTTGAAAATATCCCCTGGGACTCTCCTTGGGAGTTCTCAAAACTAGTGGAGGGCACAGTTGTCATTCTGGAATAGGGTTTCTCCAAAGTTTTAAAGAACAGCTTCATAACCCACGCTCCTATGCACCGCTTTTAGGCTCTACTGGGATTTAGAAATTATGACTTTAGAGAATGAAATAGAATACTCTTCATCAGGAAAGACAAGCAACACTAGGCAAGAAATACCAAATATGTAAATAGACCGTCTGAAACCTCCTTACCTCATAACCAAACTGCAGCTCGTCAGAGGTCAGCATGATGATATCGTCATCGATAGCCAGGACAGCCTCCGTCTCGATTTCGTCATACGGGAAGAAACGGTTACTCAGCTTGTTTTCAGCAGTCCTCACAACTTTTAATGGAACCCGGATCTTGGGCCAGAGAGAATCTGGGGTGGGAAAAACAGGCATGTATTACTCTCCTGATTTCTGTGAGGAGATAAAGTGGTAAAAGCACCACATCACAAATGAGATGGCACTCACTTCCGTGGCTCCCATTAAAGCTACACGTACAACTGTTCAAGCGCGAGTTCTTACAAATGCATGGTTATAAAAACTTCAAGTATTTCTATCCTCTCCAAGTCCTTGCGACACTTCTAATTCTCAATACTGTCTTAACTAGAATGTACAAATGGTTTCAACTCACAACTGAGGGACAGAGAAGCCAAAAGGACTTGCCCAAAATCACAACAGGAGGGATGGAGTCTGCACTGTCTCATTCTCAGGCCCGTGGTTTAATATCAGAACTCTGCCACCTCCCCAGACTACCTTCAGTGAGGTACACCCCAGCTCAAGACATGCCTCTGCTCTGCTGGCAAATACAAAGCATGTGTTCTAGATGTTCGCCCCAGTGTGCCGACCTCCACCATGCAATCGCAAACAGATACCAAAGCTGCTCAAATCCACCCCGCAAAAACGGTTTCCCTGAACGACATGGGTTTCTTAACTTAGCACGCTATCCCTTCGACAGCCCCTTCCCTCTGATTCACTGGGTTTGGTTTCTCATCATGAACAATTTACAGAGTAAATATCAAGTTTCTAGGTCCAATTATGTGGGATTTTCTAGTATACTGAAGAAATACCAACCCATGACTTGCCTTACATTTTTTCCCATTCTACTTTGAAATGATTGAAGCAATTCAACCGCAGGTTCCTTATTTTAAAATGTTGCATTTAGCCCAGCATGAAATTAGTACCTCTTTGGTACAGTACCCTTATCCATAGACCTCAGGGTTCTTTACAGAGGGTACTTTGTTCTTCATACAACATTTGTCAAGTGACAACGGGAAAGCTAGGTATCACACTGCTTCCAAAAAGCCCATCGTGTAATTGTGGAAAAATCTAGTTCGCGTGAATCTTGAAGCCCCAAATGCCTGTGGCCACTCCAAAGTCACCATACTGAAGAGAAGTACAGCAAGGGAGAGTCAGAAGGGAAAAGGCTGTCGGTACGGCCTGCAGATGAAATATCTTCCTTTTGTATATTGTACAGCGTGTCCGTGGGGCACACTGTTGGGACACTAGCAGGATCCTGGAAGAAGCCTGCGTAAGTGGAGGCCCTATAATTAAGGAAGACAGTCAGTCTTAAATAAACACAGAGCCTAAAAAAGCGGTCAACTCCGAAAGAAGCATGTTTGGGAAGAAGGACTGAACTGAACACCGAAGAAATGATCCTAGGGGCCACTCACTGACTTTTAATCAGTAACAGTAGTTAATTATAGTTTCATCCCTGGCTCAGAAGCACATAATCAATAAACAGCTTTGGAATAAGTGGATGGGCACAGGACTTGAGACAGTGAAGACCTGTGTCCCATGTTACTTATGGGGCGTCAGCAAGTCCCTCTCACTGTCTTCTAAGAATAAGCGGGGGGGAGGGGGGGGCGGGGAGAGACACGTTTACTAAGCAACTAATATATGCCACACACTTTGTAGATGTAATGTTATCCAATCCTCCTGACAACCCCCTGGGGCAGAAATTACTCACAAAGCAGTAGTTACAAGGCTCAGGGAGATTACATAATTTGGCAGTATGTAAAATTACATAATTTTACAGAGCTCCTAAATGATAAGGCAAGTGATTGAATCTAAGTCTGTTTAGCATCAAAGACCAAACAGAACATGTACCATCTACTGCAGTATGAAAACCTCATGCTTCTCTAGATCTGGGACAAAATAATGAAGCTCAACATGTTCTCCAACAATCCTTATTCTCGTTGGCTTCCTACTCCCTCTTCCAGATAAATAAAATCCTTGGCATAAATCTACTGTCCAAATCCTTATGAAACATGAATGTAAGATCTAAAATGCAAGAGGTTATAACTCCATCTACTAGACCACCAGTTCTCCAACTTTGTGGTGTCAGGATTTCTGTATGCTCTTAAAAATTGTTGAGAACCCCAAAGAAGCTTTCTGTGGGACACACACACGGTTTGTGTGAGATTAAAACTGAGGAAATTTTAAAACAGAAGAATACATAAGCACACATCCCACTAGCCATTTATCCCATGTCATGTAGCCTCTGGAAAACTCCTCTGTCCCCTTGTGAAAAACAAAGAGTGGGGAATGGAGGTGACTTGGTATTACTATGAAAATAATTTCAACCTCACAGACCCCTTGAAAGGTTCTCATGGATGTCCAGGGCTCCCTGGACCACATTTTGAAAGGCTTTGTGTTCAGATTTGGGTATCATAAGATGGGGAAAGTTCCAACAAGCTGGAAAAGACTTTGGGAGGCGTTCCAAGGACAGTACAGGCACTTGAATCCAGGATTTCCACAGAATGTTTAAAGAGACTAACGCACGGTGCCAGTTGTCAATGTATTGCCTCAGCTTCAATTTCACCCTTCACTGCCCTGTTTCTCATACTGGAACTAGATCCTGTGAACATTTCACCTCTGCCAACCAGCTTGATGTTAGGCTTTGTCAGTAGAGAGTGCTAGAGGGACACTTTGGAAGGAAGGGGGCTTTTCTTGCTGGTTCGCGCATACCTCTTTAATTTGTTGCTCCTTCCGTACTTGACCAGAAGATAGGCAGGCAGGGGCACTTCTCTCCCTCAAGCTTAAGTGGTACCCCCCGCGACAGCTTTGCAACAGGTTCTGCAGACACTGCCAAGAGGAACTCAGCTGAGGTCCTCCCCATGGGTGGTTCCCAGGGAGCTCCACTGAAGCCCTCCATTTCCCAGCAAGTTCAAGAACACACCCCGGGTCACTTTTTGTTGAATTCTGGGCATACTGAAGGGGAACGGGAGGTTTCTTGTTTGCCAGACTTGGCCTGTGGCACCTCCGTAAACCTCACTGTGCAGTGAGCTACAGTCACATCCTGTCCAACAAGCCCTGAATCTCAGAGCTAGCTGGGGAAGGGGTTCTCCCAAATTTATTTCCTGCTATCTTTAAAGTTTTTACCCCTTAGTCACCAATCACCTATCACTAATCATTCTTTATAATAAACTTTTCCTGTTCAAGTTACGGTGTGGTTTCTGTCTCCTACCTAGGCCTTGACTAATACACAGGGCTATCAGGAGGGCTATCAGATGAAAGAGGAATTATTCTCTATGACCTCTAAAGTCAGAAGCATGACGAATGGCTGGGTGAAAAGTTACAGGCAACTAATTTAGACTCAAAATAGGTAAGACTCTTCTGATGGAGGGATGCCTGGCTGGCTCAGTCAGAGGAGCATGCGACTCTTAATCTCAGGATCATGAGTTCGAGCCCCACACTGGGTGTAGAAATAACTTAAAATAAATAAAGTGGGGCACCGGGGTGGCTCAGTCTGTCGAGCGTCTGACTCTTGATTTTGGCTCAGGTCTTGACCTCAGGGTCATGGGATCAAGCCCCACCTTTGGCTCCGTGCTCAGCAGGGAGTTTGCTTAAGGATTCTCTCTCTCCCTCTCCCTCTGCCCCTCACCCCTGCTCGTGCGCATGCTCTCTCTCAAATAAATAAATCTTTAAAAATAAATAGATAAATAAATTTTAAAAAAGAATCTTCTGATGGAAAAACTGAGATAAAACGAAATAATGAAATACCTTTAGCAATACAATGTGTGCTTTTACTTGAAATGTACTAACTTAGGTCAGATTTCTACTTGACATCATCTGAGAGACCAAACAAGATGCCTCTGAGGTCCAGGATTTCATGAGGCAGTCATAGAATATAGAACAGTCTTTAGGAAGAGTTTTGAATCCCAGGTGTACTCCTTACTAGCCATGGGCTCTTGAACAAGTCAATCATTTTCAACCTGTTTCTTCAACTGTGAAGACAGAATAATAACACTATCTTCCCATGGCTGACTGTGAGGTTGAACATGAATGCACTTAGCAGCATAGCGCCTCGCACACGGGAGACATCCGCTAAATGTCAGCGGGGCCTTCCTTTGAACGTCTGTGTCTATTTACAGAATCAAAGGACTTCTTCCGAACCTTAGGGGTAAGGGAGGCAAAGTGGGACATGTTAGATCTGGCACATTACTCTGACGATCCAGCAGCATGCCCCCAGCTTGCACCTTCCATATTTACTTTTAGGTCAACAGGATCCCTACCAATAACCCTCTAGAATGGAGACAATGGAACACACAAATAAAACAAAAGAACACAGAACCTTTTTTTAATCTCACAAAGTAACAAACAGCTCCTCTTTTTGCAATATGTACAGAAAATAGGCTAGCTGCTTTGGTTAAGTATGAACATTCCTCTACCCTGGATGGGATTTGGACTTTCACTTGGTGAGTGGGTACAGCATGTTCCACCCACAGATGGCTTTCCACATCATCACCTATATATCCAAAGAATTACTTGAGACGATCAATATCCACAGACAACTAACTTGCCCTTGCCTTGTAAAGTCTTTGATGGAGAGGTTTTAGGGAATGATGAAGGCCAAAGAGGATGACATGGGGTGAAGATGGACATGGGATTGTCCTTCCCTGTTCTGAGTTAGGCCTGGGTAGCTGAAAGTCAGCCAGGGCAAAAGCAGTCTCCACCTCAACGGTCAGCTGTCTATGTACCATCGTCACCACAAGACAGGCCTCTAAAGAGAATTCCCAGTTTTTTGTTTTCACATTTTCAAATAAAATAGGACTCCAAGAAAGGGAACTACCATTCTCTCAGGCTTCAGCATTCCTTCTGTGGAGGGCAGAAATCAAAAATAAGCATTATAATTACTCCCTGCTCTAAAGCAGGGAGTTCTGATATGGGATGTTGACTGTTTAAAAAAATTAGGACAGAAGCATGAGGTGGGAAAGAAAAATATGGGTGAGAAAAAAAGAACTTTTTTTCCCCCCTTTCCATTAGTATTTTCAAAAGAACAGATTTACTTTCCTGTCTCTCTTTGAGTCCCTGACAAGGAAGAACCTAGTTCTTCTACATAATCCCAAATCAGAGAACAGACAAAGCATGATTTTCCTCCTGCTAAATGGCAATCTAAGTGGATACAGGGGGCCTTCGTGCAAGGGGCACGAGCTTTGGATCCCTGGAGACCTGTGTTCATTTCGGGCTCTGCCACTTGCAGTTTTGTGATTCAGGCAAATTACACAACTAATCTGAGCTTCAGTTTTATAAAATGGGAGTAAGAACAGCTTCCTTGCAGGTCTGTCAGAAGGACGAGATAATATATGTAAAGCACTTAACACAGTTCCTATTCCTGGGATTTAAAAGGTATATAATACATGGCTATAAAAACATCGTATTATTTTCATCTTCATAAATGGGTTCTTGTAAAGTCTTACGGACCTCACTTCTCTCCTGACAGCCTGAAAAGGTGTAGACAGAAGGCTGTGAGGTGGCCCCTTAGGATGCAGAAGGACACAATTCATAGCTAGAGAACTTTAGGCTCTAATTCCATTGCTAAGGCCAAATGGGGTCTCTTTTTTCCTTACTCCTTCTAAATTCTAGTGAAACTCTAAATTCTAAATGAGTTCAAAGTAAAACAGCATGGCCTTGTACCTTATGTCTCATCCTGTGAACCTGTGGCTGGCAAAATAAAAATGTCACCTTCCATTCACACAAAGTAGTCTGAAAAACAGGAGTTTTTTAAACACATTGCTGAGTTTATGAAAAACAAACAGCTGAGCCAGGTGACCTGATAACTTCACAGTCAGGAACTTTAGTCTAGCTTGAAGGAGAAAAAGAACTCCTTGTGTTAAGGATTTTTTAAAAATGGGTATTGATTAACGGTTTTCTCCACGTCGGATGCCAAGAAAGATGTGAGCAAAGAGAATTTTTCCTCCAACTTGGCAAAGGTACTATAAAACGGTGAGGTTGACTGAGGATGACCCCAAGCCCATCCTGGCAATCACTGTCACAAACACAACCACAGATCAATAAAATAAATGGTCAGATTATCTCCATACCAACCTTGAGCTCACTTGAGGAATGCTCAGGCTGCTTGGTGTACAGCAGGTCCGCATGACCTTAATTCCCCACAGTCCCTGAATTCGGCTCGAAAGCAGGGAGTCTGTGGCTTCTACTACTCCGTTGCCTCTTCTGGGATGACCGTCCTGACACATTCGGCCCGTCCCCTCCTGCCTGCTAACAACTATGAAAGTCACAATCTGAAGCCAGGGAGCTCCTGAGGTCAATTCAAATTTAACACTGAAATCAGCTAAACCAGAAGCCTGAGTTAAACCTATCTGAGCTATACAGTGTAATAGCTTCCTTCACAGGGAGGCCAGGGGCCAAGCCAAACAACCTCTATATCCATCAAGTTTGGAAATTGAAGAGTTGGGGAGGAGGAAGGCAGTGGCTTGCCTTTTTTTTTTCTGAAAGAGCTCAAAACCAATGTGACGAAAGCTCACTGGAAATTTCTATTGCCTAGTCTAAGTATTTACTTAAACTTCAAACCCAGCAATTTAGACTTAAATGTAACCAAAAAGAAAAATGTATTTGGTTGGAGAGTGAAAAAAAAGAAGGCGGGGGGGGGAGGGGGAGGATTTCTGCCTGCATTAACCCTCCCAGCAGCAGACACGTTCACCACAATATTTATTTTAGCAAATGTAGAGAAAGTGAAAAACATCACTTTTGCCTCTAATATTTCAAAGCCTTGGACTTACTTTTTTAAAAAATATATATGCTACTAATGCCATACATACAGATTCAGACGGCTTTGCTGGCATGAGGGCCAGAGCCGACAGCCCCATTTACCAACTGAACAAAACACCCCACAGAGGTCTAAACATGGTTCATGCTCCCCTCAAACAACCGCATCGCCAGAGCCTGAGCTGAGACCTCAAAACCACTGCTAGAAAAAAAAAGCTGGTTCAGTCTCTAAACGTGTCAAAACTGGGGCCTCGTCAGTTGAGGGCTCGCTTTCCTCCCTAGAGCCAAAATATTTCAAAAATAAACTAAGCTTCTGGTCATAGAATTAACCACTACATTTTAGCAGGGTCTACCAAAAACTAAACCTGAACATCCAGCTCCAAAACCGAGGTTCATGCTCGTGCCTCCTGCCACCCCAGTGTCAGCACTTTGACCAAGACAGCAGAAAACGATACCTTCCTTCTCACTGTCCTCGATGGTACCTGCCCCAAAGAAGTGACTCCAAGTCCCAATAAATCATTCACCTGAAGCCCAAAGCGGCTAGCCAGGGTTCATAAGGAAGGAAAGGAGTCTTTTGCATTGAGCTGTGCCTCTCTGGGCGGGTGGGGTGCTGACGGGCTCCCTCTGAAAGCTGGTGGCCTCTGGGCGCGGGAACAAATGCACGAGTGTGAATGCGGCGCCACGCAGCGGGCTACTCCAGATCCGAGGAGGGATACACGGCCTTCCTTCTCACAACGTGATTCATCCTTTTTAAGTGAGAGACTAACGAGCAGCGCCCAACCGTCCGATCCACTTCCCTCTGGGCAAGGCACCGGCCGTGGCCCTCTCCGTGGCACCTCTCCGTGGCCCTCCCCGCACAGCTCCTGTTTATTTATCTCTGCCCTTTCATTCCACCCCTTTCTTTCTCCTTTTCTGAGAGTCAAATAAATGAAACAAACAAACAGACAAAAATCCAGAGAACTAGACGTTGGGAGGAAAACAAACTTGGCATAAAGAGACAGTTAATAAGAAAAAGCACTGCTCTCTGGAGCATAAAACAGGGCCTTCGTTTAAAGTAGCCATTTTGTTTACTTAAACTATGGCTCCCCTAAATAGAGAGAAAGCACATGATCCTCTCAGAGAACAAAAATCTCACAAAGGAAGATTTCTTGAATGTCTCAAGAGGAACTAAAGAATTTTCTTGGGGCAAATTCTGCTTTGCCTAACAGACAGAAAACGTTCTTCTTCCAGCCCAGAGATCTACTACTGGCAGTTTCCGAGGCTGACTGTCCTGACTTCAGTATTACCAATTAAAAGGGAATAGTCCTAAAAAAGTGCAGATACTACTGTCAGGCAATAAACTAGCCCTTATCGGGGATAGTGGTGCACATGACAAACTTCAAACTCATTCCTTGCTCTAATCCATCAGAAACTTCCTGGCTTTAATAGGCTATAAAGGGCAGGAGCTTTGAAGTCCCTGGGATTAGGATCAGTAATAGACAGACTGAATGAGAAACTAAATGCAGGTGGAACATACTCTCTGCGTCTTGAATGAAACACAAATCCAATTAATCAAACAGTCCTCAACCCTCACTGCCAGCGCCAGCCAGCAGCTTATGGCGGGGGGGGGGGGGGGGGGCAAGGCAAGGGACAAAGCGATTACGAAGGAACCAATGTGAACCTGAGTGAGCGCTCACTTTAAGGAACTGATTCGAAGCCTGAAGAGGGCATGCTCTGCTGACTTTCCCAACTGAAAGTGAAGCCATCCTTTTTTTTTTTCTTCCTGAAGAAAAGTGCAGTATCAGAGCCCAGATAAGGAAGGAGAAAACTAATGCCTTTTAAACTGAGTTTTCATGTAAACAAATCAGCTGTGATGGCTGAGGGAAGCTGAGATCTGTTTTCCCAAGGCTGCTGGCCTTTGATCCCACTGATTCCTAAGCTCCCAAACACTTGGGGCTATAGTGCATGCCATGGGCTTGGAGTTAAGTGGGCCACCCCAGAACAAGAATGAGATGACTGAGAAAACTGGGGTCATGCTGCCTCAGAAATGGCACTGTTGTTGACAAAGCAGGACAACTCATTTAAACCTAAGGACGCAAATAATTTGGCCATCCAAAATCGATCCAGCTGAGAGTTGCGCTAAAATCCAAACCAGGCCTTTCCTGAACATACCATTTTCCCACTCTTCTTACCTTCTGGAGGATTTTTATTCTGATTATTCCAGACAACTAGCAGCTTGGATAGACTGGGCACCTTGGACACCTCAGTGATGACCCGGAAGAGGCTCTCCACTCGGTCGTAGGTAAGGACGATGGCGGTGAAACCTTGTGACTGTGGTGGGATCAGCGGGAGGAAGAGTGGGTTGCTCACGCTGCTCCATTTCTGCAAGGCAATAGATTAATGTGGGTCAGCAAAGGATCTAGTAACAATGGGGCCGATCTCTTTTCCAACGTTGTCAATAAACTAGAACATGGGAGATTTGGTGACTTTCACCATGACCAACCCAAGAGCTAAAGTCTTCCCTTCCCCCAAATTTGTATTGACTCTCTTTAATTAACTTGAGCTGTGAAGGCCACTCAAACAGGAGCAGAGAATTTTTGTAAGTAAGAAGAGATTTCTAGTTAAACAGAGCAGATTAAACACGTACACTGATCTCCATTCTCTCCTCAAGCCCACTCGAGTGACAGCAGATACAAAACACAAATGGACAATGCCAGTGAAATGAGAGAAGACACCACAGTGGATGAGCAGTATCGACAGGCTTCAGAAACACTGGGAGGGACCAGAGAAGTGCGGGAGCGGGAGAATGAGGGAGAAAGCTAAGTAACCACACAGAGGGGGCCAACAAAGCCAACAAGTCCAAACCACAGAACCCCACAAAGGCTCAGAAATAAGCTCAGTGAGAATCCTATGGGGTAAGAGGAGGGGCAGGGTTGAAAACAGGAAGACTGGTTAAAAATATGTATAAGGAGCAAAGAGACCCAGATCTACAAACCTCCCCTTCATTCAGCCAGTCAGCCAGAAAACTCCTCTTGTCCACCCCTGCAGGACGGAGGTCTATTCTCCGGGGAACTGAAGCTCTAGGCATGGAAACATCGCCACAGCAGAGAGGAAAATGCAGGGCAAAGTCTATACTGGGAATGATGAGCCACGCTTCCTCCAGAAGGTAAGAAGAGTGGGAAAATGGTGTGTTCAGGAAAGGCCTGGTTTGGATTTTAGCGCAACTCTCAGCTGGATCGATTTTGGATGGCCAAATTATTTGCGTCCTTAGGTTTAAATGAGTTGTCCTGCTTTGTCAACAACAGTGCCATTTCTGAGGCAGCATGACCCCAGTTTTCTCAGTCATCTCATTCTTGTTCTGGGGTGGCCCACTTCTTCCCCTCCAAGTCCCCAAACACTGGCAGCCATGTGGCTAGCTTGCCCCTCTGCCATCTGACTGTGACGCCCTCCGGGCAGGAGGCTTGCCCTCACACCCAGAGCTGCTTTCCAACCAGGTTTTCAGTGCTTCCCTGGTAATCATGAACAGATCCTAGAATCACAGTCATTTCAAGAACATCGTCAGCATAATGACAGAAACCAAACAAACAAATAGAAAAGCAGGAACTCAGACGAAACAGAGACAACAGAAGCAGCAGAAGGAAATTAAAACAACATCAACAACAAATTATATCCTCAGGAAGAGAATTCTTCATCCATGAAATAAGAATAAACTTTTTATTTAAAAAGATCTATCAAAGAACAGGAAAGAACTCTTGGACATAAAAAATAGGATAGCTTAACTTTAAAAAAAAAAAAAAAAAGCAGGATTAAAAGAAAAAGGTAACATATTCCAGTCTAGTGAACAAAAAGGTAAAGATGAAAAACAGCTCAGAAAAGATGACAAAATCCAAGAGGTCCAACATCCACCTAATAGGAGGTTCCTGAAAAAGAAAACAGAATATAGAAGAAACAAGACTATCAAAGAAATTAAATAAATTCTTGGGACATAAGATAGAAGAAACATGAATTTTCAGATTGAAAGGGCCCAATAAGTAATTCGCACACTGAATCTGAAAAAAAAAAAAAAAAAAAAGGCAAAAAGCAAAATAAAATAAAACCTATCAAAGCACATCACTTCTGACACTGGGAATAAAGAGTGTGAATATATAAAATGCATAAATCCAGGCGATGAGTTCTAGGCGTGAGTTCACGGTACGTTCTTGCAACTTCTAAGTTCGAAATTTTCTCAAAATCGGGTTTAAAAAGTCATGAAGGAAATTCCATTTCTTTGCTACCATTAAAATATTAAGTAAATTTCAATGCAGTGATACAAGCAAAAATATTTTTGTACTGATAATAAGATTGTTAAAACATTTTTATATTTTTAAACAACTTTTTTGAGATACAATGCATATAATATACAAACTACTCATTTAAAGCAGAAAATGGTTTTGGGTATATTACGTAAATTTTTTAAAACTGTGGTAAAATATAACATGAAACCTGCATTCTAGCCACTTTTAAGTATACACTTCAGTGGCATTAACTACCTGCACGTTTGTATGTTATTACGTGAAAAGGCCAGGACCGGACTTCGTCTCTCCAGAAGCTGGCTGGACACGAAATGTCCCACTGCTCTTCTGGCCGCTCACCCTCCCATCCTCTGGTAGTTCCAGGGCCCCCACCAGCCTCACCCTTATCACTGATGGACACCCATCACCACGGAGAGGACAGCAGCTGTCTGCCAGATGTAACAGTGTGGGACAGGAAATGTACACAAACACATGGAATACACATGGGATGGGAACTCAAAGAGACTGAATGGGATTCCAGGAGTCCTAATGTAATCAGGATATTAAAGCCAAAATGTCCACAACAGGCCATAATTAGATTTCACAGCCAGGAGACACAATGAGAAAGGCTGACTCTGTTTTTCCATGACCTCACGCTTTGACTTTAAGTTGCAGTCTCAGGAACGTACCTAGATTTTAGCGCTGGTACCCTAGCAGCTCATCACATTGGTAGGAACCCCTTTTAGTTTTCTACCTCAAAGCTTATTTATATCTTCTTGACCTTTACGGAAACGAGGTCAATAAGTAGCCCTGTGCTTCAGTCAGTTAATCCCGAAGGTGCTCGTTCTCTCCGCCATTACCATCCCAGCCCACCCATTTACTCCTCCCAACACAGTACTCTCTTATGCTTGAAAACACCACTTTAAATGAAAAAGACACAAAAACAGAGTTTTTGAGGTACTGTAATGTGTGTGAAAGCTTTACTGAGCACTTACTAAGTGTCAGGCACCAGGCTGTACATGTAATATCTCTTCTGAGCCTTACAACAACTCCCAGGCCAGATACAGTTATCCTTGTTTTACAGATGATCAAACCGTAGGGTTAAAAATAGTAAATGATGCCTAATAATTTGCTTTATCAGTCAAAAAAAGAAAGGAAGAAAGGAAGGGAAGGAAGAATGAATGATGTTATGATGTTCAAGGTCTGGCTTCTGAACACCGGATGGTGGAGGCCCATGGCCCATCCTCACGCCCTCTGACTCTGAGTCCGAGGTACGCATCATCATTTTATACTCTGGAAACTGGAGCTGTGGGGAACGCCAGAGTTTATTACTTCTAACCCTTCTCTGAGACAAAAACGCTGGAAGTTCTTTACCCTTCACAATCACATGTGGGCCATATAATAAGCAAGAGCCCGCCCCAAACACTATGATTTCAGAAGGTACGCGGACTAAAACACACCGAATATAAACACTGACACAAAGGAAACACATAAATTAAAAAAGGTAAATACACCTCTAACACAGAAGGAAAAACTATTAAAACTCCAACAAAATGGGGTCTGTTCTTGGGGAGAAGTGGGGAATGCCAACACACTTGAATGCCTGTATGACATTAAAAGGAGAGGAAAGTTCCCTGAGAGCTGCGAAGCTTGGTTTTGGAAAACGAATCCCTTGGAATTTAAACGGAGGCACCCCCTGAAGGGCATCACAGCTCTGATTTCAAGACACTGCCAGGAGAAGGAACCAGAGTCTCTGGCAAGATGACCGATCTGTTCTCATCCCGTTTGCCAGCTCCATTCGGGAAGCGGATGACTGCGGAAGGGGAGGAGGAGAGGTAGGAATGGGTGGGTGGGAAACAGACAGTAACTTGTCTTGGTGCTCAGTTTTTCCACACTACTCACTTGCATACCAGATAGGTCGTGAAAATTGGGGAAGCAGAAAAGGCAGCATGAAGGGGAGACAGAGCAGGCAAAGGAGCATAACCAGGTCTGAAATCTTACCAACATTTCCCCATAAAATACAGATGTTGAGATGAACACAGGCGTAACACAGAAGCTGCTGAGCAGCTATTTACTAGGACACAGGCTTGGTGCTTTACTGTAGGCTATGCCGACAGGGTTGGGGCAAATGACTTCAAAAAGTGAGTGGACATGTTCGGGGTCAGTTTGGGAATCATGTCTCCTTAACATGAATCCAGGCTCCTTCACTTACCAGCTGTGTGACCTGGACAAAGTACTAAACCTCTCTTGCACCTCAGTTTCTGTAATTGTGATAATACTACTACTTTAGCAGGTATGAGAAATAAAAATGATAGTAACAATTTCTAATAATGTTGATTATTAACATTTCTTAATTATTATTTCTTAACAACCAGAGATTGTTACTAAAAGTAAACAGTTGACATATGTAAAGTACCTCACACTACAAACATTCAATAAATGGTAGCCAATGGCTGATCTTGTGGGAGTAATCACTGCTCTGGGCTCTACTTTCCACGGTTCCTACAAGTGGGGTGGCAATCCAGCAACAAGTCTAAATGAAATCCTTCTTCCTCTCTACGTTGACCTTATCATGATTTAAGGTCCTAGTTTATCTGGATTCTCTACCTCTACTTCCTCTCCAAATAGACTGTTTTTATTTTCACAATTTCCTCTTTTCCTTCCTGATCTTTGTATTTTATCTTGAAAGTTCCATGAAAGCAAGAGCCACAACTGTCCGAACAGCTAGCACCTAGCCAGCGCCTAGCACTACTCAATAAAAACCTGGTTTAAAAGTGAGTAAGTTAAATCCAAATGACCCAGGTCATGTTCTTTCTGTCCTCTTTCTGTATGTACGTGAACAGGTGAGTTCATTGCCAACTGAGTTCATTCATTTTAAAGCACTTACCTAGAATCTTAGTGTGCCAACTATTCTGAAGGGCAGGATGGGAATATTTAACAGAAGAGAGTTTGAATTTAGGCCCTGCCATGTACTAGTTTTGTGATGCGTAAAGCTACTTCTGTATTAATGTCCTCATCTGTAAAATGGGGACCATGATGGTACCTGTCTCCTAAGGGGATGATGACAAAATGAGATCCAGCACAAAAGCAATGAGCACTCAGCACAGAGCT